GTACACCCTGTTCGCCTGGAGGACACTCCTTCAATAAAGCAGATTTTGGACTATGCCCTCAAATCTTCGACCAAAGCTTTGCGTAATTTTAAGTGGAACATCTTTTCTAAATTTGCATCATCGCGTAACTTACCTGCTGCTCCAGTGACGCTAGACACAGTTCTTGCCTTCCTTCTACATCTTTTCAAGCAAGGCCTCTCACACTCTACACTAAAGGTATCTATAGCTGCTCATCAACCTCAGAACACAGACTCTGCATTCTTATTCAGACAACCTACACTCAAACAATGTTTGCATGGACTACGAAATATTCACCCGCCATGCAAAACACCAGCTCCTCGATGGTCGCTCCAGCTCTTCCTTAACCGCATAACACAGCCACCCTTTGAATCCTTGGCAACAGCACGGCAAAGACTCTTGGCCTTTAAAACAACCTTCCTGCTTGCCATCAATTCAGCTCGCAGGGCCAGTGAACTCTCCGCTCTCCTCATCGACCCACCCTTTCTAAAAAGTCATGTTATACTGTACTCTGACCTTACGTTCCTTCCTAAGCTGGTGTCTGAATTTCATTTACGACAACCCATAGTTCTGCCTGCATTCTTCCCATCATCTGCTAATGACCTAGAGCGCTTGCTACACTCCTTAGATGTTAGGTGTGCCTTGGCATTTTATGTCTCCCATTCTGCTTCCTTTCGGAAATCTAAGAGTCTCTTCATCAGTTGCCACAGCCCTTCTAAGGGTTTTCCAGTCACTTCTCAAACCGTTGCAAAATGGATTGTCGCTACTATTGACCTGTCTTGTGACCTTGCCCATGAACCTTTTCCCAGGCCATTTTGGGCTCACTCTACAAGAGCTGTAGCGACATCCAGGTCATTCATTAGAGGAGGCGACTTGGTTGACGTTTGTAAAGCAGCCACCTGGGCAACACCTTCCACCTTTGCTGCCCATTACTGCCCAGGTGTCCGGGCCAAGGCCGATGCCTAATTTGGTCGTGCTGTCCTCGCCTCTGCATTGTTGTGACGTCCCACCTCCTGGTAGGTCAGCTTGTTAGTCATCCATTTGTGTGCATTCACAGAGACCACAAAGAAGGAAGAGGTTACTTACCTGTAGCTCTGGTTCTTTCAGTGCTCCTCTGTGAATTCACGCTTCCCGCCCATCCTCCTGTTTCTCCATCACGTATGCCTATTGTATGCTGGGCAGCGGTGGACTGTTCTACGGAACTGAGGCACTCTATGCCATGGGCGGAACCAAGGGCGATGGGAGGGAGGTCCTAACGAACACATGTAAAAGCTCTAGAAGTTTCCAAGAATCTCTGTGCAGGCACACTAAACCCATTTGTGTGAATTCACAGATGACCACTAAGTAACCTCTCTTTTTGTTGGCTGCTACCAAACAAATGGATCTTTCCTGCTATGAAGTATGCCAGTGGAGGAGAGACAGATAGACAGTTCATTGCATTTCTAATGGCAATGTAGGGAGACAGCTACCTTCCTCTGTGGCTAAGGATCAAAGAGTATTTATTAGAAACAAACAAATAAGCAATTCTGCCCAGACACTATTACATCTTATTTATTAAAGTATAATTAATAAAATTAGAGCAGTCATAGTATCGTTGCATGCAATCAGAAACATTTTTTTAAAGTTCAGTGGCCTTATCTTGTATAGCAATGCAAATAAACTAGATCCCCACTATCTCCGTTTCTGTCTGCCTTTCATTTAGCCTCTAGCAATTAATATAAGAAACTGTTAAAATTGCAAGAATTAAAATGAATGAAATGACAAATAAAATAATGTGTTTTCAGGTCTTGTATTAGTGTCCTGGCACCAGAGACGATTGTAGATGAAGCTTTCAAGCAAATTAATACTTTTATTACACTTATAAGTTTGAAAATTAATCTTATAAAATCAGCAGAATTAGTATTATGTTTCAGTAAGATTATTGAACAAGAACCACAAATGAATAAGTGACAGGTATTCCAGTTGGTAAGAAAAAATGCTAAAATGATTAGACATTAAAATATTTTGTGTATTAACAGTTCTGAGAACCTGTTGCACTTGACTCGTTGAGAAATCAGCTCAGATAAGACCACAAAAAGGCTATGGATGGGAGACTACAGCAGCAGTAAAAAAATACATAACATCTTTTCCTGTCATTTCCTTCCAGTTGGTGTGCCATCCAAAACAATTTCATATTGGCAAAAGCTATTGAATTTATATTTCACAGTTAAAAGGCAAATGGGAATATCATACAAAGGCAGCCAGAAGAAAAAAGGAGAGGGATTAGTATTCCAAAATGTAAAGGTGTAGAATGAAACATTTCAGCTTAGGCATGGTTTACAATAAAATGAGAAAACCTGCTTATATATAAAATACACAAAGAAAATTTAACCCAACATAAGAGAACTACTCTTTTTATTTCATAATTAAAAAAGAATAGTAGACTCTTATCACACATTCTTTCCTACTGTCTACTTCTCATCCATGAAAAAAATGGAGAAAATATCTCCATTAATTTTCTTCCTGCCAGTATCCATTGTACTATTCTAAAGATAAATATGCACAGTTCAGACCCTGGGGAAAATGTGACCTATTAAAAGACCTATTTATAGGGTGAACAGAATGTCGCTTAGCAGTGGAACTCAAACACATAAGCCATAATTGGCTGTGAATTTGACATCAAATGCAGATGTTATGGCATAGGTTTTGAAATCTCTTTCTGCATTTGAGAAGTGGTTATGGGCAACTAAAAAGAAAACTAAATGAGCTGTTTTTCTCATTTATAAGCAAATAAGTAATCATAACAGGATTTCACCGAACAGTTTAAAAATGGGCGGGGGGGTTGTTTCCCTAAGAAAACACACTGAAAAAGGGGGAATCAGTTTGGTCTTTAAAAGAATCAAATCAACATCTGCAAAAATAAAGGAGAAAACAATTAAAAGAGAAGGGGAAAACAGGGTACCTAACTCCCATTGCCATTTAGAAAATAGCTTACTGATGTTGGAAATGGTGCGAGGCAATGGAAATGTATTTCCGTATATGATGGAATTGTAAGAAGATACAAATGTTGTTGGGAGTGTGTATGCCAAGAATGCAGTAAAATTCATAGAGATACTTGGTTTGATCCTAAATTGTTATCACTGTTTTTGGGATTGAATGACATTTTCCAGGTAAAGAAAAATGTACCTTCCTTGTGGGGGTAGGCAAGAGGGATTAACAACAAAAACTGGCAAACAAATGAAGATCTCTCTTTAGAATTCTTGTGCCAATATGTTTGGAGTATAATTTGGGTAGATAAATTAATCAGCAAAAGTGATTGAAATTGATTCTTTCTGGGGGGGTTGTACTAGTTTGTACAGTACATTAAGGAAGGTGTACAAAAGAGAAGACCCCCCCCCAAGTTCATACAGCAAACTGTGTAAAACTTTAGACACTCTCCAGGGTCAACAGTCTATGACAGAACATACTGTCTTTTGGTAATAGTTGACTTTTAAAATGCATTAGAATGGATGGTAAGGTTACAAACATATACCACTGTCTGAATGAATTTTATGAATGTTACTGTTATGTCATTGTTACATTTATAAATAACCAGAGAAACAGTAAATGGAAACCAATTATGGATTGGAAAGGTCAGGGTCTGGGTAAGCCATGACTCATTTCTGGTCTGGCGTTTTCTCAGCCATACTTTATAAATAAGTTTAAAACAGACAGACTAGAAGTGTGTTGTAATAAAAGCTTACTTTCTCTAGTATTCAACTCTGAAGGTTGTGCACTTAAATTATAGTGTTGGGGGATCCTCTCTTTAGATCTATCAGGGTAATCTAACCTTTTCTTTCAAGACTGAGGGTGTAGCTACACAGGGGATAAACACTAGATTCAATTGGCTTGCCTCACATTTTTTAAAACCCTGCCACTGTTAGGTTCTACTACCAAAATTGCTGTAGCTGTCGATGCCAATAAGATAGACTGCCCCTTGACAAGCGTCTGTACTGCCCTTCCTTCTGTACTGCACTTCTTCTCATCGTCCATCCCCTTCATATGGAAGCAGAGCATTCCGTTCCTGGCACTTCAGACTCCCCCCCCCCCCCANAGCTCCTTTGAATGGCTTAGCCTACCATCGAGTCAGGGACTATGCCATTAAAAGTAGAAAAGTAAACATTTGTGGAATGAAAAGTAAACACTTCAAGTAGGGCCAGTTGTCCCACTGAAAGACTAGATACAGAATGAAAGCAAATTGACAAGGAAAAAGCAAGGTAGCCTCGACACTGATCTGAAACAGCACTAGACTTGACAGGCAGATTTTAAAAAAAGAATGAAGATTGTTTGGAGGACAAACTGCCGGTGTTCACCTGAAGAGGGATTATACTCCTGTAACACATACGGACTGAAGGTGTTACCCAAAACAGCAGCATGGACCCCACCACCCCTAACTGTACATTTAGACCAAGAGGGCTGATCGCATATCAGAAAAAAAAAGGGGAGGGAGACGCTGGCTAGCCTCCCAACAGCCATTAAAACAAGAACCCCCAAATGACCTCAGAAATAGTGCAGTCTTTTAGGTGATTAGATTTTTGTTATGTAGTTAAAGAAAAATGTCTCAATTTCAAATGTGCAAAATCAGATAGAAAAAGCAGAGTATAATGAGATGCACCCTAAGGCAGCTGTCATTGTCGTGTTCTCTTAAGCTGGGAAACTTGGAGAGCAGAATGAAGTTCCGCTGTCTTCGACTCAATAAGCTAACAAAAAGGATTTTGGGTTCTCTTACACTACGAATGGCTACTGGTAGTTTTTGCAGGTCATGTATAACTCAGGTGCTGTTTATTGTGGCGGCTCGTAGTCTACTGAGTAAAGTAGGAACAAGGAACTGTTACATAGGAAGCCACTTAGCCAAGGACATTGTAATAATGGATTTGCTTAATGGGGGCGGAGGGGACAGTTGGACTAGATGACCTCTGAAGATGCCAACTTCAATTCATTGTCCTTTCCCCCCTCAATTGCAGTCAAGCCTCCGCATCTCCCCGCCTCTGCCTTTCCTGCCTATTGGAGGTCTTACCAGAGATTCCTTAAATGGGGCAGGGTCCCACCTGGATCAAGACCAAGCTACTCTGGCTGCAGTCACTTCCACCCCAACCAGCATCCCTAAGCAGTGGCCTGGAGCATCCACATGGCCTTCTTGGAACCTGCCAGACTCTCCAGAGGACCCGTTTAGTATTGAGAGAGAAGCAAGGCTTCACAAGCAGGCAGCAGGTCAGCCAAAATCTGCGCTTGCCTTTGGGAGAAGGAGGAAGGGTTGAGTAGTCATTGGGATGCTAACTCTCTTGGGTCCCTGGGCTAACTTTTCCTGTTTGTGGTTCCTTGTCCTTAGCTGTGAACGAGGCCACCTGTACATGGAGTGGGCAGCTCCCGCCAAGGAATTACAAGAATCCAGTCTACTCCTGTAAGGTGTTTTTAGGAGGAGTACCCTGGGATATCACAGAAGGTGAGTAATGGAAAGTCTCCTACAGTCCTGCAGGTCAGCAGATGGGTGCCTTGAAGAACTGCTTTGCTGCTGGTTCCTATCAAGGTGAACTCCTTTCCTGTGGGCTCTCATCCTGATTACGCTGCATGCTTTAGCACCAAGTCTGCTCAAAATGATTTTGTTTGCTGAGTCAGAGCAGAAAATGGCCCTTCCCGTCAAGGTAGATGGTACCTAAAGCTGGCCAAATTATTCTAGCACGAGTGAGAAGGTCCCATAAATCTCCCTCCTCCTGGGAATGAAAATGCTATATTAACAAAGTAAATAACACATTGCCCTTTTATGACATCTACAGTCTGCTCCCTAAGGGCAGGCCTGCTCTGTTTACCACCAGTCCAGTTTGTCTAAAGACTTTTCTTGGCAGGCCTGCTCTGTTTACCACCTTAGAGACTGTCCAGTCCAGTTTGTCTAAAGACTTTTCTTGGTGTTTTAGAGTGAACAAGGTGCGTTTTCCCCAGCTTGGTCCCTTGTGGGTTGCTGAGGCAAGACTTTATCACTTTTCTGGGTTTTGAGTTACAAGAAGGAAAGGTTGCATGAGGCAAAAGAGAGGATGCTGTCCATTCCATGTACAGGAGTTGACTGCACCCATAGTTGTCTCTTACTTCAGAAGAGATGATGAGCTGTCTTCCTCCACTGTGCCTGTGTGCCCTATTAGCATAGGGATGGGAAAGACCTTATGGCACAAAACAATGTTGTTTTCCAGGAGAGGAGGAAGGCTCCGGGGAAACAGCACATCTTGCCTGAGGTGGTCAGTTTATCTTTTGGTAGGGATGGTCCTGGGTGCAAATAGGTTGGAAAGGAGTCTGGCGGTATCTTTATTGTGCATTTATTTGTTTTATTTCTATACCGCCCATCTGGCCAAAGGCCACTCTGGGCAGTTTACAACATTACCTATAAGCTGGTCATTACCTATAAAGCCCTATACGGCTTAGATCCAGGCTACCTGAAGGACTGTATCTCCCCATATGAGCCTTCTCATTGTTTTAAGACCATCAGAGGAGGCCCTTATTTTGGTCCCATTGCCAATGCAGGCAGCTCCCAGTGGCAGCTCCCAGGCTATGGAACGCTCTCCCTCCAGGAGATCAGGATGGTCCCTTCCCTTTTATCTAACTGAATCCCTCAACCCCACTTTAGCAAACAATTTTAATCTTTTCCATGTTTCCATGTTTTACTCTTTTATTTTAAATCATATATTGTTTAATTTTTTAAATCATATGTTTAATTTCTCTTTTTAATATTTGATTTACTGTGTTTTAATTGTTTGGATTTTAATGCTATCAGTTTCCTTGGGTCTCTTTGTTGGGAAGAATGCAGCATGCAAATAAAACTAATAATAATTGCCTTGGGTCTCTTTGTTCGGAAAAATGCAGCATGCAAATAAAACTAATAATAACATGAAAATTAGCACAATAAACATGGCTAAAATTCAAAGATTTAACATGGGCACAGAATAAAAGTACTGAAATAAAAATAAACAATACATTGAAATGCATTAAGTTACATTTGACATACGTAAGTCATTTAAGGCGGTGGTAACTTAAGTCTAGAAGATATCTATTGAAACTCCAGTAATAACCATTTCAGTAATGAAGTTGTGAGATTGTCTACAGTCTCACAATTGTCAGCACCAGTAAATACATCAGGGTGAGTTTTAGGGCCATATTTTCTCCCTGAAACCTGATGCAAATCTCAAAAAAGACAGCCCCCCCCAAAAAAGAACGCTGACCCCAAACACTCAACATCTCTGAAATAGGAAGTACCCAGGTTGATCCTTCTGGCTTCAATAGTTTGCTCTAGGATAGCGATGGCAAACCTATGGCACATATGCCACAGCTGGCATGCAGAGCCCTTTCTGCGGGCACATGAGCCCTAAGTCGCTGGATCGCTACCACCCCCCACCCAGCAGCCAAGCCTCAGGAGGCGGCTGCAGCCGCAGTGCTGGCACTTCGACAGGCGGCAGGGCCAGGATCTGGGGTGGGGTCTCAAGACACTTCTGTGCCTCGGATTCCCCCCTTCCAGTTCCACCACTACCACTTCCAGTTCCACTGCGCCACTGGTTTTTTTTTTCCTTTCAGTTTGGGCACTTGGGCCCAAAAAGGTTCGCTGCCCACTCCACCACTTCGAGTTCCGCTGCGCCACTGGGTTTTTTTTTTTCCTTTCAGTTTGGGCATTTGGGCCCAAAAAGGTTCGCTACCCACTGCTCGGGGTGTTGGATGTCCTCTGAAAACTCATGTTCTTGAGGACCTTCAGGAGCAGAGAGAGGGCACTCCTCAGGGGTGTTGGATGACCTCTGAAAACTCATGCTCTTGAGGACCTTCAGGAGCAGAGAGAGGGCATTGTTTGCAAATGACATTTTGTTTGCATGGGGAGGTCTCCCGCATGTAGCCCATGGGTTGTAGTTTGCCCACCCCGGCTTACGAATGTTCATTTTCATGAACGCATAGTAACTGCTGAGCCCCACTGTGTTCATGCCAATATCCGAGTCAAGAGTTGATTCATACTGATGGGTTGATTTACACATGCAGTAGAATTGGATGGCTGGTTGTATTCTGAGTTATTTGGTGCACATTAGAATGTGTAATGTGTAAAAAGTGAATCCTGCAAGTACAGTGTGCTGTATCAGATAGAGTAGTTCTGGAGCAAGCTTCTGGCTGGTGCTCTTCGGTGTGTTAGACTACATGTCTCATTAGCTCCACTGGCATGGCCAGCGGTGAAGGATATGGATGTTGTAGTCACAAACATCTGATGGATGCCAGGCTCGCGATGTCCCTGATGCAAATTAAAAGGCAACAGTCATTGCAATTATCAATAAATGTTTCCAGTACACAGTTCTTCTCTGTTTAATATAAAAATAAGAGTACTTACAAAATATCCGTAATATAAACATAGTGAAGGTTTAATGTAGTGAAGGTTTAATGATGAATTTAATGCAGAACAGTGTTTCAGCACCCTTTTTTAAATGCACTGGAACATGAAAACATACTGTGTGTATATTGAAGGCCATCATAATACACTTAATACATTAGTGTTGTGCTTTTAATGGTACCAGTTCTAACAAAAAATACTATTAGTGGCACAGATAAAATGCACATGCCTGATTACTCTGTCAAGTAGAACATTAAAGTAATAAAGGCTTCAGGTATTTAGTATTTGCATTTCGTTCTTAGCAAGTACTGGAGTTCTGTCATTATGACATGCCATCAAGTTGCTTCTGAGTCGATTAGTGACCTCCAGAAGATTTTGTCACCAAGAGTCCTGCTCAGGACTTGTGCACTCAAGGCCACGGCTTCCCTTATTGAGTGGCTCCTTCCTCCTTCTCAGTTGTCCTCTATCCCTGTTACCTCCAACTTTTCCAGTGTCATTGCCTTTTCTGGTGACAAGTTTTAAGAGAATGAAACTGTCTTCATGCCTTCATGGCATAGTTGGGCAAAGTGGGTCTCCCTGCTTGCAGCCTGATGAGATAGACTGCAGAACACTGCGCTGTGTGCCATATGAGAATCTGCAGATCCAGCAAGGTGGGCATGGTTTGCTCCTCCAGATATGTCGGATGGCAACTCGACAAAAGGCCCCGGCTAGCCAGAGTTGACATCCAGAACCTCGTCTAGAAAGACAATGTTTTTTTCCCTCTTTTGCCTTGACTAAAGGAGGGTACGTAGGAGGTAAAAGGAAATGTAAAATATAATCCTCCCAACCGTAGTAAGACTCTGGTGTTTTGTTTGGCTTGGCTGCCTCTGAATAACTCTTTTTCTTCTGCGCAGCGGGTCTCATCAGCACTTTCCGTGTGTTTGGCTCTCTGAGGGTGGAGTGGCCTGGTAAGGATAGCCCTCCCTTGCCTTGACTAAAGGAGGGTACGTAGGAGGTAAAAGGAAATGTAAAATATAATCCTCCCAACCGTAGTAAGACTCTGGTGTTTTGTTTGGCTTGGCTGCCTCTGAATAACTCTTTTTCTTCTGCGCAGCGGGTCTCATCAGCACTTTCCGTGTGTTTGGCTCTCTGAGGGTGGAGTGGCCTGGTAAGGATAGCAAGCATCCCCGCTGCCCTCCCAAAGGTAATATGCCCAAAGGTAATACAGACGTGGTAGGCATTTTTTTATCCATGCTATAGAGCACAGAGGGTTGCTGGGAGAGCATGAGTGCATGCCGGTGACTGGACAGGTGAAGAAGCATCACAGGACACAGGCCCCCCTCGGGTGCACAGGTTCTTTTCCACGGCTGTCGTCTCCACTCACTGGCGGTGATTGAAGGTGGGAGGAGCGGCGGAAGGCTTCTGGGGCTTCTTTTGGAAGGAAATCTAGTCTCTGTCCAGGGCAAATTGTAAAATCTGGTATCATTTTCAGTGAAATAGTAAAACATGAGAAAAGTGGCATATAGGTTCCACTGGAATAGTCTGTTCCAAGAAGAAATCCTTTTTACACACAAGCCTTTTGTATTGCAGAAATTTTTTCTCTTTCCAAGGCTTAATATGTGTAGAAAGTGTGAATGAGCGAGAACCTCTCCTTCCCAAGGCAGTGTGCTTCTAGGGGAGCAGAGGGAGCAATGGGATATTTCTGTAAAGCATCCCCAGATCTTCTGGATGCCTGCTGCTGAACTAATTGGCTCTTTCGATGCAGCAACAAGGCTGCCTTGGGATGCAGAGGAACACCTAAGAACGAGGGACTGGGCATGTACCTGAATTTCCTGTTTTCTTCCCCCAAGGCTATGCCTACCTGGTGTTTGAGTCAGAGAAATCTGTACGCGCTTTGCTCCAGAATTGTTCCCGTGACGTGCTGAGCCCCAGCGGCCTGAGCGAGTATTATTTCAAGATGTCCAGCCGCAGAATGCGCTGCAAAGAGGTGAGCAGGTACCCTGCCTCATGGGCCATAGGAGAATTAAAAGAGATGGCTGGCCTTTGTTTCGTGGCATGAGCGGTGGCCACGAGGGATCCAGCATTTTCTTGGGTGAACGTGCTAGTTATTTCTACCTCACAGAATGACCCAGATGGGCAGAGGATTGCTCCACACGTCGGCTGTGAATATCCAGATTTTGGTTTAGACAGGGAGAACAGAGAGTGGTCCCTTGATTGGAGTGTTTGTTTTGAACCCCTCTAAACTTGGGGTGGACAACATGTGTCCTTGGGCTACGTGCAGTCCTCCCTATGTCTGATAGTTAACCTTGAAAATCACCGTGGCCTTGGCCTCAAAATGGATTGCCTTTAGCTTTGGGAATCACAGTCATGCTTCTGGGAACAAAATCAGACTTTAAAACAAATAGCTTGCTTCTGCTTTGTGAACACCTCATTTTTAACAGGAAAGGTTGCTTCTTTGTCTGCCCCATCGTGCAACATTTTGGTACTGGTGAGTTTCTGAAAGCTCCAGTGAGATTCTGGGGCAAAACTTGTTCCCAGGCTTGCTAACAGAAGATACACAGCTCTTCTGTTAAGTGTGCAGGGTTTGTGCTACAAGTGGTTGGGTGAACAATATGAAAGTCCAGAAGTACCTTTTGCAGGCTGGCAAGATGTTGGCAGAATCTGCTTATACACAGATCTTGTTAGAACTGGCAGTGGATCTCCACTGCTGATTTTTTTTTTCAGCAGTAGATCTTTGTGCATCGTGGAGGCTGGATGAGCAGTAGATCCATGCACAAGCATCCTGTTGTGAATTGGCTTCTGGATCCATGCCTTAAGATTTCTGTTTGCATTAGAGCCAGGAGATAACTGTAATTTATCATGCATAGAAGCTAGTGGAGAACCTGTGGTCCTCCAGGTAGTTTTGGACTACAGCTACTGTTGTTCCTGACTATTGTGCATGCTGGGTGAGACTGATGGGGACAAGTAACATCTGGAGGCCTACAGATTCCTTGCCACACCAAAGAATGAACTACTTGGTAAATATGGTGTCCAAAGTGTTTCTGGTGCCTGCGGTTGCAGGTATTTGTCAGATATAGGTAATACCTTCCCTTAGGTCAAGTTAAAGACAGCCTTAAATCACAGATGAGAAGCATGTGTTGCCATCTTTGCCTCAAACTGGGTTTCCAGTGTTTTAAGTTCAGCCCTCACAGTCTGCAAGGCCAGTGGCTTGAATCTGGAGGCTGCTAGTTTGCATCTGTATGTGCACCCTGTGGACAAGGCTGCTGAAACAGATACATCTCTAGAAGAGGAGGGTCCTTGGCTTCAGAGTCTGGCTAGAATGCTGTATCCCAGTGGCTTCCAATCTGAGCCCCCAGATTTGTTTGTTTGGTTGGTTGTTTGTTTAAACTTTTATCCCACCCATTTAGTGGGCAAGGCACTACGCTGGGTGGCTTCCAGAAAATAACAAAAATATACTGTACATCATTTTTTTTTTAAAATGAGCATATAAAAAACACATTTGGCAAACCACAGACCAGTAACAAAAATATACTATACAAGAATTTTTTTTAAAATGAGCATATAAAAAAAACACATTTGGCAAACCACAGACCAGCATAAACTAAGTAAAAAATTAATATTACAAGGGGATGAGATTTGCAAAGGCCTAGGTAAAAAGCCAGGTTTTCACTTGCTGATGTTGTCTTCAGCTCTTGGGATACCTCATCACTGAATGTGCTGACTTGGGACTTCAGGGAGTTGAAGTATGCAGGCTGAGAGAATGGCAGATGCATCCACGTCACCATCTTTAACTGAATCCAGTTCCTGTGCAGAGCATAAGCCTTTTCTCTTCCCTCTGCAGAGAAGTTAGCCAGGCACACCTCCTTCGACCGTTAGAGTTCAGTGAACTGCATCCACAGGCCAAAACATAAGAAGGCACTTGAGGAGATCCTGGGACGTCTGCTCAGTCTTCTTTCTATTTTCCTAGAATGCATTTCACTGAAATTGAAGCCAAAGGTGCTGCGTGGGTGTGGGCTGTTGCTAGGCACTCTGACTCTGAGAATATGTCAGCACCAGCATCCAAACCAGTTTTGACTTTCCATAGTTGCCTGCTATGATCCAGAGGTGGGAAGCGCTAATTTTTGGTGACTACAGTTCCCAGACTATCACCGGCCATTGTGGCCCAGGGTATTCTGTCAGTTGTACCTCCAGAAATCACGAATGTTTTTCATTCTGGTATGGACACATGAATGCTCAACACAGCTGATGCAATTCTTGGGAGGTCTTTTTTGGAGTGGGGCTACGTTTTATGTCACCTTGTCAGTGCCTGTACATCTCTTGGCTCTGTTGCAACGTGGGCAAGTGTTCCCTACCTTACTGGTCACAGAAGACGGTTTCCATGGTGTCAAGCTTGTTTTTCTTGGTGCAGAAGAATGCCAGTCCTGCTGTTGGCAGTGTGTGTCACAAATGTCATTTGTAAGATGGGAAAGGCAGTGGCTGTAGTGAGAGGAGCTGAGTGGGATATTAGTGTTGATTGGGAAGCCTTGCCTGAACAGTGTGGAAAAGGGAGGAATTCTTCTGTTTGCAGGCCAGTTTTAGGCTGGACAAAAAGCTTTAACACAGAGAATGGGTGTTGAGTACAAAGAAAAGAGGGAGGCATTACTTAGAGGAGGCCTGTAATTACTGGGAAACAGTCTTGTAGTGATTATTTACAGTTAGTTGTTGCATTTATATTATACCTTTTGCAGCAGCCTTGTGGGGTAGTTCAGTCTGAGAGACTGCAATTGATCAGAAGTCATCCACTGAATTTTGCAGTTGAGTTAGGATTTGGATCCATCTTGCTAGAGTCCTAGCCCAACACTCTTAACCACTTCACTGAAGTGGGTCTTACTGTCTTGTGACAATGCAGAGACGTATTCCAGTAGCTGAGTTACTTAGCCTCTCCCAACATAAGTTGAGTAGTTCAGTTGGCAAGAGAATGCTTGTGAATGAAAGGCCAGTTATAAAAACAAGGCACCCTGAACATATTACAGTTTGTAGACTGTGTTGCCTTAGCTCACTGGTAGAGCAAATGCTGTCCATGCAGAAGATCCTGGGTTGAATCCTCTGGGCAGGCTGGAATGAGGTGCTTGCCTGAAGCCCTGGACTCCAGGGAGCAAGGGTCTGACCCACAATAAGGCAGCTTCTGTTTTATTAACAGAAGTCCGGTCCGCCTTAGCTATGGTTACAGTGGTGCGTGTGTGGTTGGGGGGCAGGTGTGTGAAATGGGCAAGACATTCTGGTTGGGTCTCTGCCAGTGGTTCTCACCTTTTAACCCCTTCCAGATGTTTTGGATGTCAGCTCCTAAGATTACTGATGGTTGGCCATGCTCGCTGGGGATTCTGGGAATTGAAGTCCAAACCGGAGGGTGTAAAGTTGAGAACCACTATTCTCAACTGAAGAAAAGGTTTTTTTAAGAGGAAGGGGAGGGGTCCAGATCGACTGCTGCGGATACATTGAGTAGTGCAGATCCTTCTCGTTGTTGGTTTTAGGTGCAGGTGATTCCATGGGTCCTGGCAGACAGCAACTTTGTGCGCAGCCCAACTCAGAGGCTCGATCCTGGAAAAACTGTCTTTGTGGGAGCTTTGCATGGCATGTTGAACGCGGAAGCCTTAGCAGGGATCCTCAATGACCTGTTTGGAGGTGTGGTGTATGCCGGTATTGACACAGACAAGCACAAGTACCCTATTGGTAAGTAAGAACTGTTAATGACTGATGACTTGTTTTACCATGTTACCTGGGACTTTGGTAAAGTGCCTTGCGGGTACGTTCTGCACCCCTTCTGTTAGGGGAGAAAATTAAAGTGGAGCCTGGAGAAGGAAAGCCGATCCATAAGGACTGCAGAACTTTAGAGCTGGAGGGGGCCACAGGGGTCCTTGAGTCTAACCCCCTCCGATGCCGGAGATCCACTCCACAAACATCCTGTCCAACATCTACTTTAAAATCTCCAGTGAAGGAGATGTCGCCCTCCAAGGCAGTCCGTTCCATTGTCGGGATGGCTTTCCCTGTTAAAAATTCTTCCTAACATCTAGTTGAACTTTCTTTGTTGCAGTTTGAATCAAAGTACTTACTGATATAAGTTCCAGTTCTGGGAGAAAGACATGCTCTAACTCGAATAAATGAAATAAATAATAAATTAATGGCCAAAATCTTGCTTTGCCATACAGTGGGGTCTCGACTTACGAACTTAATCCGTATTGGAAAGCAGTTCTCAGGTCGAAAAGTTCTTAAGTCGAATCTGCATTTCCCATAGGATTGCATTGAAAACCATTTAATCTGTATCTGCTCTTTTCATCCATAGAAACTAATGAGAAGAAATCTTGCTTTGCCATATATGTAAAAGGCAAACGGCTGAACATTCAGTCCCTTCTAGCGGGCAATTAACAAGTCTCTCTGGAATTCGCAAGTGTGTGCGTGAAGCCAGTGGACCTGAGCTCAGCAGCGACTTGTTAATCGCCAGGTAGAAGCGACTGAATATCGGGAGGCAACAGCATTAGTTGTTTCGCAAACCGTTTATGTCGGGTCGGGCAAAGATGAATTTGAATGAAAACGTTTCGATTGTACAACATAAAGCTCAGTGTAGGGAAGCAGTTTGTGGGAACATCTTTTTTGTTCAGTCTTCAGAGGTGGGTTAAATTTGTTCCAATTGGTTTGAATTGCATTTGCCTATTTTCCATGCAGTGTAATCGTTGCAAAGGGGTTCTAAGGCAAATGGCTGAACGTTCAGTCCCTTCTAGTGGGCAATTAACAAGTCTCTCTGGAATTCTCAAGTGTGTACGTGAAGCCAGTGGACCTGTGCTCAGCAGCGACTTGTTAATCGCCAGGTAGAAGCGACTGAATATCGGGAGGCAACAGCATTGGTTGTTTCGCAAACTGTTTATGTCGGGTCGGGCAAAGATGAATTTGAATGAAAACGTTTCGATTGTACAACATAAAGCTCAGTGTAGGGAAGCAGTTTGTGGGAACATCTTTCTTTGTTCAGTCTTCAGAGGTGGGTTAAATTTGTTCCAATTGGTTTGAATTGCATTTGCCTATTTTCCATGCAGTGTAATCGTTGCAAAGGGGTTCTTGCAAGGGTGTCGGCTCTCCTCAACCAAACACCCTTAGATTTTCACAGTTGCTTTTTTTTGTTAAAAGTTTCAACTTAGCACTGGAAGACACTGTTACTAGGGCACTCAGGGGAACTAAATGAAAAGAGAGAAAGAGATGTGGAAATCACCAATTAGCACTTCGTTATATTTTAAGACAGCTTCTGCTGTTAGAGTTCTGTGCAAACGGAGCTCCCTATCCTGTTGACTCTTGCAAATTGTTGTCGAGACGAGGTATTCTCAACAGGGGTTGGGTGGGTGGGAAGGTGCATATGGCTCCAGTGGGGAGGCTGCCACATTTGAAGGGGGGAACAGACAGGAAAGATTTCTTCACACACCACCTTATAAGGTTTGTTTTATTATACGTTCCTAATTTGGCCTGTGTTTATTATTGTTTATGGGCGTGGCCAAAAAAAAAAACCGAATTAAGAATGGCTTGTCCTAGATGGCTACAGTGATTCACTTGGAGAAACCTAATCTGATAAACTTGAATTCGTTCCTAATTTAGCCTGTGTTTGTTATTGTTTATGGGCGCGGCCAAAAAAAAACTAAGAATGGCTTGTCCAGTGATTCACCTGGAGAAACCTAATCTGATAAACTTGAATTCACAGTTGATCAAACTGCATTTTCCCAGTTGAATCGTCACACCCTTAACACTGTTTGCAGTCTGCAAGTGTAATGAAGTACTGGGATTTCAGCAATTGGGTATTTTTTGGTAAGGTTTAGCACTTTAATGCAAATAGCAATTCCGGTTTGTACGTTATTTTGTGTGGTGTGAATCAGGACCATTTAAAGTAGAAATACACAAAATGTGGTCTGCAGGGATGATGAGTGCCTGGCCAACGCTGCTCTGAAGCCGCTTTTCCTCCCTTCGCAGCAACACTCCTGATGTGGCGGACTTTTGCAATAAGGCCACGTACTTGCTGGCTCAGAATCCTCTTTTGGGTCCCCTGTGCAAATCCTTCCTTATGTTGTACATTTCACTAATGGCCTGGTTTCATTTCAGGATCTGGCCGTGTAACCTTCAACAATCAGCGTAGCTATCTGAAAGCCGTGAGTGCTGCGTTTGTCGAGATCAAAACGACCAAGTTTACAAAAAAGGTAGAGCACATAAAATAAAAATACAAGCTATGAGGATGTGGCTACGTTCTTGACAACTTGTTTCCACAAATCCCAAGACTGGCAAGTCAACCTTTTGCAGCTTGGTACTGTCCAGGCGTGTTGGACTATAAATAGCATTATTCCCAGTTAGCTTGGTCATTTGTGGATGATGTGAGCTATAGTAGGGCACACCTGAACGGTGCCAAGTTTGGCATAAGGTGTCCAAGCACTGATCCAAAGACTGAATGCAACCAACCCTGTCATTAAACTGGAGGTGCCAGGGATTATGTATGTGATAAGAACATTAGGGAAACATTATTTATTCTTCTATTTATTTGAAATATTTTTACCCCACCTTTCATTTATTTGAAATATTTTTGCTCCACTTATCTCCCGAAAAGACCCAAGGTGGAGCACATCCCCATAGATAACATCCAAAAACAGCAAGTATGCTAATATATAAAACAGAGTGGGTTTTACTTTTTTAAAAAAAAATCAGTTTTTAAAAAGCCATTCATTTTCATCCACCCTGCGTTGATTTGAATCATAATTTAAAAATAACCCCTGATGTAAAATATTAAAGCCCTGATTTAAAAATAATAAACAAATGTATTAAAAATGGTAAACAAAATGACACCGAAAAACACATTCAAAAGCAACAAGGCACTACAACCCATTTATTTAAAACAAAGAAGCCCCTCAACCAGCCAGCCAAGGGGAGTGGGAGTGGGAGGAGTGTGGCTGAAGAGAAAAAGTCTCAGCCTCCTTGCAGAAGGATGGCAAAGATGGCCAGGCTGTCTTCATTTCACATCAGTTTAAAAAAAAATACAACTAATCCCAGATTTTTAATTATAGTCCTGAAGAGAAACCATACTTGGTTCTGGAAATTCTTAAATTCTCTTCTCGTATAGCAATTGCTTGATTAAAAGGTATATATTTGGTAAATAATAGTTATGATTGTATCCAGCCAATCATTTAATTATTCCTGATCGTTCTGTCCTTGAAATTTACTAATTCAGATAGTTCTATAATAAATTGCATCCCATATTAGTTTGGACAGAAGATAAAGAAAATGTCAAAAGTCATTCCTGAAAAGTGGCATGTATTCTTTGAGCCATTGCAAGCCCATTTTGTTCTGTTGTACTCTGGTAGGAAACAAAGTTTATTTACACTCTATGAGCCACTCAAGTCACAATAGGCTACCAGATTCCTCTGTATCATGAATAGAGCTATGGTTCAGATCTCAGTAGCCATAATGTTGTGAGGCCAAATCAAATTATGTTGTGTGTGCTTTGTTGAATTTTCAGAACTTGGATGAGAGCACTCCAAAGGTTCTACTCATCCTAAGGATCTTAAGCATCACTGTGTTCATAATTTACGTTGTGTTTGTATCACACGTTACTCGAGTACCTACAGTACATGTTGCAGGAAGAAAAATACTGTAGGGGAGACTGCATGGTTTATTTTAATTATTTAAGTATTTCTCACCCACGTTGTATCAGCAGATACTATGTCTATATTCCGACACTTTAAAATATTTCTAACAATGGAAGCCAAACGATGTAAATTGATAGAACCATCCAGGATCTCATAAGAGCCCAAATGTTTGGGTGAGCAGCCATGGAGTAGGTTCTCTGCACCAGCCAGGACTCCAGAGGGAGAGAATTTCACAGCCAGTGGATCTCAAGATGATGCACTGCTTCCAGTGGGTGGGACACAGGCGTTGCTCCCTAGGTTGGTTTTAATTACCAGGCAGGTATTTATAATGGGAGGCATGCCCTCAAATACAGTGGTGCCTCGCTTAACGATTTTAATTGGTTAAAAAAATCGCTATGTGAAAACATTATTAAGCGAAACACCATTTCCCATAGAAATGCATTGAAAACCGGATAATCCGTTCCAATTGGAACGGATTACCGTCCTTAAGCGAAAATCGCCATAGGAAAAAACATTAAGCGAAACGCGGTTCCTCCATTGAATTACATTGAAGCCTATTTCAATGGGGGAAAAAAATTCACAAACATTTAAAAAGACTCAGAACAAAGCCAAATTAAGTTAACGAAGGTTTTATTAGGTGCACTAATGATTCCAAGCATTTTAAACATTTTTTAAACATTTAGAATATTTTAAAAATAGCAAAAACGGGGCTGTCAAAAAAAACATTAAGCGAAACAAGGGGACCTAAAACCAAAAACGTTAAGCGAAGCATGGTCCCAAAATCGTTAAGCGAAAATCGCCCATAGGGAAAATCGTTAAACGAAGCGCAAGATCACTCCTAAAAAAATCATTAAGTGAATTTTTCGTTATACGAAGCAATCGTTAAGCGAGGCACCACTGTATCTGGGTTGCAAATTGCATACCTGAGCTGCTTGTTTCACAGAGAGACCTGCTTGCAGGAGATACCTATGTCTTCTATGCTGGCCCTTATTCTCCGGAGAGGAGCAGACCTCTCAAGTAGAGATAAAAGCAAAGCTTGTCCTACAGCAGCGACGTCCTTCAATACATATCCTTGGCGCTGCTTCAGGAGGAGCAACCCTCACGAGCCTTGGCCTTTCACTTTGTTTCCTGCCAGAGTCCTGCATTCTTCTTGTGCAGCTCTGTTGATTCTGCCTTTGCTCTCCCTCCCTTTAATTTAATTACTTTCTCACCTGAACAGGTTCAGATTGATCCATACCTAGAAGATGCCATGTGTCAAGTCTGCAGGACTCAGCCAGGTCCCTTCTTTTGCAGAGATCAGGTAAACAGTCTTTCTTACCTTCTTGCAACCTCAGGCCTCAGTGAGGACATGGATGGACGGATGGGCAGATCTGCTGGTTCACATGTTGTGTACAAACTCTTCAAAGATTTCTTCCTCTTTATCCCCCTTTAAAACTCTATTTTAAGCATGTCAGACTTAAGTTAAAATCTGAACCAAGGTGTTTTGGCCACTTTGTGTCTTTTTGTGGCTGTGAAATGTAGGCTACTGACTCAGTGAATATAATAGGCATTAAAGTACCAGTTTACGCCTTGCTGGGGGTGCACAGAAGTCAGCTTCTCTCCATCTCCCATTGACCCAGATTAATGCCACCCTTTTGCCCTCTTGCTACTCTACATCTCTTGGTCTGGGTTTTTTTTTGGGGGGGGGAAGAGGGAGATATTTTAAAAGCCAGTTTAGGAAGAGAGTCTATGCAGATAACTATTTCTTCTGAAAGTCTGGGGAGAAGACCTCTGTGGTACCCTTTTTGATTGAGAATTCCCAAAGCAGTGGCACAGCATGGAAGTGGGTGGCTTTAGGGAGGTCATTGAGATCCTGGTGTTGCCACTGTTGTCTGCTCCTCTTTGTACTAAGTTCTCTCCAAAATCCGGTCCATGCAGTCTTTTTGTTGCATTATATTTTATTTATTTATTCACTTCCTCCAAGCTTAGACAGACCACAAGTCTTTGAACTGATTGAAAACAAAGGAGGGGGCTCATCTGCCTGAGCTGAGCACTTGAGCGTGCGCGCGCGCGCGCGCGCACACACACACACACACACACACACACACACACACACACACTCTCTCTCTCTCTCTCTCTCTCTCTCTCTCTCTCTCTCTCCCTCTCCCTCTCCCTCTCCCTCTCTCAGAGATCTGTGATCTGGTGGAGGAAAGGCAGGTAACCTGGAACAGTGGGAAAAGCCATGCTGGTATGAGGAAGGATGATGACTGGGGCTCATAAAGAGTTTTACAGTAAGGAGAGAGAGCAGGTGGGACACACAAGAGGGTTCACAGAAATAGTTTAAGGACTCCAGCCACATCCCTGCAATCAGGTTCTTTGGCAAGGCAGTCGATCCCTCAGCCTTGCCAGTTTCATTCCTGTGAATCAGACACTCTCCTCTAGTGGCTTTTTGGCTTCGTTGCTTGTTTTTGTTTTAAACATTGCTTTCAAAATTCTGAACGTATCCTCGTCAAAAACTCGAAGATGCCTGCCGCAGTCTGCAGCTGATATCCTGAATCTTGCTGTCTGCCTAGACTGAACCAAAAGTCCGCCCCTTGAGCAGAGTCACTCGTTTTCAAAGGTTTATGATGATGTCTCACCGTGTAGCCATTGGTTTTATGTTTTTCCTTTCTAGGAGCATGCTTTGGGCAGAAAAGTACCTCACTAGTCTTGACAATACAAAAAAGAAAACATGGATGTGAGGGTTCTGTTTCTCTTTTTCCTTCTGGAGGGGAAATGTTAACCTACTATAAATGTGCCGGATATTTTCAGTTTAGTATTCTTCCTAGTATGGTACTTTCAGTTGGGCCAGTGCCTAGTACCCTTAAAAATAAAGCAGTGTTAGCCTTTTGAATCATTGTCAACAAAGGTTGGAAGGGATATGTATCAAGTAATTTATTAGCCCAGTCTTTGTAGTATTTCCTACAGTTTTTAAATTCATTATCTTAATCGTTAAGCACCAATGATTGGTGTTCACAGTAGTTTAGTTTATTACTATCCATTTTAATCATTCTAAATGTTCTTTTTGATGCAATGCTTTAATGTTTTTTAAAAAATTCAAACTTCCCCTAGTATTCATAAATGTGTTTTGTAGGAGTTCAACATTTTTGGTAATGTAAGCTCAGACTTTGAATCTGTGAATCCCTGTACAACTTGCGTAACTATGTGTACCCTCGGGATGCGTTTCCCACTCTCTCATTCCTTCCTTCCTTCCTTCCTTCACCACCACCCCCCAAACTCCCAGGTCTGCTTCAAGTATTTCTGTCGCGCCTGCTGGCACTGGAAACATTCCATGGAGATCTTGCATCACCACCGCCCACTGATGCGCAATCAGAAGAACAGAGATGCCAGCTAGAGCTGTGGCCGAGGCCGCTGCAGCTTTGCAGAGAGAAGCTCTTCTGTTTACCTGCCACCAGGGAGAGAAAGAGCCCAGGGCTGCTTGCCCGTGCCACCACCCAGGCTTGGGGAATGCCCGTTTTTGAAAAAAAACGTAACGGGGAATCTTGCCTTCACGTTTGCACTTGCTGGTCTTTATTTGTTTCTGCACTTAATGCACAGTGAAGTTTTGTCAGGGGTTTGTTTGGGGGGGTTGAGAGGGGAGGGCCCCCCTCAAACAATTCTGCAGTTCCCAGACTTTGGTTCCTTGTTGCTGACTAGAAGCATAAAGGGGCCTTGTGTTGAGAAGGTGTTGAATGCAGATGCCTTCGCTTCCGTTTCTTATTTATCAAGGGCCCTTTTTTTACATTCCTTGCAATACTGATGGTAATAATGCAGGTCTCATTGGCTCCGTTTTTTTGCAGTTGCCATACAGTGCCTTTCCATTCATTTAACCCCCCCATCTGAACGGAATAAAATGAATGTTCAGCTGGTGTTTTTTACTGTAACAACAAGGAGACTTTGTTCTTCACTTAAACCAAATCATATTTCATATTTTACGCTCCAGGATTTTTACCAGTTCCTTTTTACACTCTTGAAAATGGTTTTTAAGTCGTTTGAGACTAGATTTTTTTCTTTCCTGGCAGCTTTTAACATCATTGCAACTTGTGTCTGGGAGCTGTTAGTTTAAAAAAAAAGTTTCCCAGTTGTGAATAGCAGTATTTGCAACCCAGAAGGATAGGATTTTTGGATTTTGAAACTGGACCGGATAAACGATCTTTGAGCTGCTGTATATAGTTTGTTGCACTTTAAGTTGCACTTAAGGGGGCTTGATAAAGATTTTTAATCACAAAGTCACAAGACTTCAATTTTCTTTTTATAACGGAGCTGATTTAAGGGCTGTGCTTCCATAGGGCAGGCAAAGGTTCCTGTGAGCCCTTTTCTGTTTAGAGATGAGTAAAATAACTTTAAGGAATGTACAGAAGAGAAGTACAGCCCACCGATCGTGCTGGGAGTTGAAGTTTTGATTTTGTTTTATTTTTTTTCCCTCTATTTGGAAGCTATGTGCCAAAGAACCAGTGTCATAAGTTCTCCCTTTTTCCTGCTGAGCTGATGTTGCATATTCCAGCTGCTCTTTGTGGGGTTTTGTGAACCAGTATGTGAAGTCTCTACCTCATTGTAGTATATGCAGGCAAGACTGCACTCTCCTACAGATGCGTGGAGTAAGCTGTGATGTAGTTCTTGGCACATAATAAACACGTTGCAGCAAATCCTTCTTCTTCGTTCTTCTTCATTTTGTTTTCTTTTAACGGCAAACTGGACGTCTGTGTCAGTGTGTGTCAGAGCAGCTTTTCAAGCCATTTCTGGAGCTCAGTTGCACTCATTTTATACATATAATCCATGGCGCTTCATCTTGCATTGGGGGCAGTCAAGCCTAAGGCATGCTCTGAAGACCAGCTAGTTGACCTGTGGTCCCCAGTCTGACTTTACAAGGCCCCCACTTTGAAATGGATGCCCCAGTATACGCTCCCTCATTTCAGTCTTGCCTGCTGCTGGCATGGTAGGCCTGTGTCTGCTGGTCCCTCCAAGGTATTCCATGGCAACCTAGAGGCAGTGTAGACAATTGAAGAGATGGACTGGCCCACAGCCCAGTCCTTGCTGACATGGAGCAAACCTGCCCGCACACCAGCACTGTTGAACCGTATTTGGGACACGGGGAGGGTGAGGGAAGCACTCCTCATGGAGACTGCACATGGGCAGATGCCAATAGGTCAGTGCTGCTCCAACTGGGAAGAAGCTGTGTGTCTAGGTTCATTGGTTTGCTCTGTTAACCCCTCTGTCTAGGGCTTCCTGCATTTGAAGTTTTGGTTCTTCTTCGTGGCCTCTGTGAGTCACACCCTGGGTGACTAAATAGCTGTCTTACTCGGAGGCAGGGTGTCACACCAAGGTAGAGGCTAGAACAGCACATCCAAAGGCTGCATCAGATTTCTGCCAGAGATCAAGTCTATAATGCCGGATGAAAGTGAACGGCTGTGCCCAGGTGGCAGAGGAACAGATATCTGGAAGAGGAACACTGCATAGGAATGCCGTACAGGTCACCACTGCTCTGTGGATGCCCCAGTATACGCTCCCTCATTTCAGTCTTGCCTGCTGCTGGCATGGTAGGCCTGTGTCTGCTGGTCCCTCCAAGGTATTCCATGGCAACCTAGAGGCAGTGTAGACAATTGAAGAGATGGACTGGCCCACAGCCCAGTCCTTGCTGACATGGAGCAAACCTGCCCGCACACCAGCACTGTTGAACCGTATTTGGGACACGGGGAGGGTGAGGGAAGCACTCCTCATGGAGACTGCACATGGGCAGATGCCAATAGGTCAGTGCTGCTCCAACTGGGAAGAAGCTGTGTGTCTAGGTTCATTGGTTTGCTATGTTAACCCCTCTGTCTAGGGCTTCCTGCGTTTGAAGTTTTGGTTCTTCTTCGTGGGCTCTGTGAGTCACACCCTGGGTGATCCGCGCCTGTGCGGAGCCTCATCAGAAAGTTCTAGAGCTTCTGCGGTAGCAAAAAACAAATTAGAATAAGGCCTCTCTCCCCTCGTATAAGTACCTTGGCACCAAGGCTCCCCTTTCATTTTCTTTCAACCGCTGCGTTGGGAGCCTCATAGTTCTGCTTCTATGAGTAAAAGAGAAAGAGAGTTTAGTCTTGATTCCTTCCTGTTATCAATCTTTTTTCCTTTAAACTTTTAGATCAAATTAATTATTATCAGAGGGTTTTTTTTTTTCTTTTCTACTTTGTCGGTCTCCGGCCGCAGCACCACCCCCCCCATCATTTTTTTCCTCCTATTCATGACCCCATTTGAACATTGCATGGTCTGTGATAACAAGATGGTCACACCAAGTGCCTTTTTTGGGAGAGGCACACCAGACGTCGTCCTCCCAGCACTGTACGAACTTCAAGCGTGGAGTCCTCCCCGCTCGCACTTTTCAAGATTAAAACTCTTTGGGAACAATTCCTTCAACCAACCAAAACGGCCCAATCTCCTTGTAAGGCCACCTCACAAAACAGAGTAATGGAGAAGACTCTTTCTGAAGCCTCAAACTTTTGTCTATAACTTCAAAAACCCATAAATCAAAATGCTCAATACTGAAACCCTTGATATCAAAGCCCTCCAAGGCTTTGGACGTGCTGTTCTAGCCTCTGCCTTGGCATGCCACCCTGCCACCGGGTAAGTCACCCAGGGTGTGATTCAGAAACCACGAAGAATGTCAGTTTACCCACCTATAATTGTAGTTCTTCGAGTGGACCTCTGATTCACACATCCCGCCTGTCCTCCGCCACTTAATATAGCAGCGTCTGACACAACTGAAAGAGGGGGAGCGTTGGTGCCAAGGTACTTATACGAGGGGGGAGGTGCCTTATTCTAATTTTTTTGTGCTACTGCAGAAGCTCTAAAACTTTCCGATGAGGCTCTGCACAGCTGCGGATCACCCAGAGTGTGAATCACAGAGGTCCGCTCGAGGAACTACAATTACAGGTGGGTAACCAGTCGTTCTTTTTGACACCCTTCTGCCTACAGAGGACCTAGAGCTGTTCACAAGCCCCCAGCAGATTACTTCAAAGAAATGGGTTTAATAATGGGGGGAGGAGAATCCTTTTCTCTTATCCAAGGGACATGATGTAGTAACTGCTGAAGTTAAGGCAGTCTAGACTTGTCAGTAGCTGTACAGGGGAGAACTTTATACACTTCACTTTTTATGGAAATAGCAAAGGTGTGAAGCAAGTTTACTTCAGCAAAGCAGTCATTTACTCTCAGAGGTGATGCTAGTGTTTTTGGTAGCCAAAAAAACGGCATCAACCATGCACAGCAGTGTGACAACAGCAAATTCGGGGGACTTCTTGTGGTTTTCATACTGAAGATGGATGGATGGGTGGATCTGGGAGTGAACAGAAGGGTAGTAAAGATAATGTGTGTTCTTTGTGGTCTCTGTGAATGCACACAAATGGGTTAATCACCGCCTGCGCAGGACTCCTCGGAAATTTCTAGAGCTTTAAAATGTAGGACCTTCCCCCATGGAGCGCATGCTCCGACCATCTACAGTCCCTCAGTTCCTTTTAGCCGCTGCTGAGTTCAGACTTGGACGACTAGAGCGATTCACTTGCGATCTTCGGATCTTCCCTCGAATAGTATTTACCGCAGCCAGACATTTTGCACTCTGAACACCATTCAACAAAGCATCCCTGTACCTTTTCGGTATTGGCTCCTGCCTTGGCCTCACATCTGACTGTGACCTTATGTTGTGCCCAACCATCATCTCTCCAGGTCATGACTGCTTACAGGGGACCTCCTTCAGCTCCAGCTGGCCTGTCAAGTTACAACTTCCATGTCACGATCTCGACACCCCTCGCCTTCTCTTCCGCCCTTGTAAATCAGAGGGTCTTCGGTCTCGACAATCTCAGACATAATGGATTCACCTTTTGAGGCTTCCTGGGAGTCACCTTCAAACTTACCCAACCCTGGATGTGGCCGATAATCATACACACCCTCTCCATTTGAGGACTTCACCTTCTACTCACATCTAATACTTTGTATGGTGAAATCTCTTGAACTTGACATTGAGCAGCCGCCTCCTCCCAAACAGACCTCGTCTTTGATGACATTAACCATGACAAATCCCAAACCCCCACCCCC